GCTCATGGAAAAGACAATGCAGAGAAGGAATAGATATTAACTAAGAATAGAAGAGAACAGAGGGCATTAAAAACAGAGGAAGCAAATAAATTTACATGTGAATGACACGACCTGTGCTGACACTGACAAGCATCATTATCAGAAGCAAAAAGATAGAGCAGGAGATGGAAGGATTTCTGGTTTAGGTTGTGGACAAGATTCTCAGGAAATGTAACTGCTGAATCCTTTCCCTGAACACTCTGGAGGAACTACAGGGAAAAAGAAAAAAAATGTAAAAAACACCTTAGATAAATTTTAATAAGAAATAAGAAAGAATATATAAATAGAAGGAGAACTATACTATGTTCATTGATAGGAAATCTTAATATTAAAAATGTATCAACTCTTCCCAAATTGATCTCTCTATTCAATGTAGTTCCTCCAGTTATGGAACTTGAAAAGTGATTTCTAAAATATATTCTGAAGGTTAAAAATTAAACCTGCAAGTTTAGGCAGGACACTGCTGAAGCAGAAAAGCTGGAAGGAGTGATATCAGTTACTAGCATCTATTATGAAACCACAGACAACCCAGAAGTGTGAAAATAGGGCAGAAATAGACACATTGACCAATGGGCTATAAGAAAGCAAGCAAGCTACATGTGCAGGGGAGTTTGGTACACTTCAGAGTAGTATGTGAGACTACAGAGGAGAGAACAGATTAAAAAATCATTCAGAAAAATGGTTATGTAAATAGAAAAAGAGAACATTTAACCTCTACCCTATGCCATGCACAATGTTAATTCCTAATGGATTAAGGTCTTATTTACAAAAAAATTAAAATTCTTTCAGAAGTATGCTTTAGATCTCAAAGATTGGCTGGACCTTTAAACTAGACACAAGTTTTTATAGTATTTACTATAAAACTAATGGCAAACAATTTCACCTTATTAAAATTAATTTAAAAACACCTTAAATAAAGTGAAAAGAAAACTAATAGAAGATATCTGCAATAACCATCTAATAGACAAGTCGTCTAAAAATCAAATAAATTTTGTAAAACAGGCAAACACGTGAACAATAAGGCTGATGAACACATGAAGATCTGTTTAGCATGCTTGGTGAGCCAAGACCACAAAGTCGTATTTTATATACTTTCAATTGGCAGTTTGGAACATAGCAAGTGATGGGCATGATGGAATCTGCAGAATCTTCTCTGCATCACTGATGAGAGGAAAAATTGGTGCAAATGCTTGGAAATTCACTTTGTTACTACTCTCTAGAGTTTTTAGTAAATCAATAATCTGCATAACTATTTCAGGGAATATTCTTGAAAGAAATTCTTGCACGTATATAGGCACTGCTCACAGTTACAGAAATATAGGAACAAAAACGTTTCATGTCAGTGAGAGTGGGTGAATAAATGGTATGTTAGATATATTCACAAAATAAAATTAGACATCAGTGAAAACTGATGAACTACCATGACTCATAACTAAAGGCTGAATATTAGCAACATAATGTTACATGAAAAAGTCCTGAATACATGTAACAGCAGGACATTATTTTTATAAAGTTTATATCCAGTTAAATAAAAGGCATTTTTAAGGAATACACATAAATGCTATAAATGTATTCAAAAAGAAAGCAAGTTAAAGATGAACAGAGGCTTGAGGATGAAGGTAACCTTGGATAAAGAAAGGCAGGAGTTGGGGTGGTGGGTGGGGACATTTGGTTAGATGTAGTTATTGTCAAGGGCCTAGCTTCGATTTCACAAGGTGGGTTTATGGGTTTATGGTTGCATATGTTTAAAATTGTCTATATAGCTAGATAAATAAATGAAAGGGTGTCATGAGATAAATGTTACCTTTATTCCAGTTCTGTGCACCTGAAGTAGATAAAATGGGGAGGGAGGGAAGGAGAAAGAAAAGAGGAAGAAGGAAAAGAAGGAAGCAAGGAAGGAAAAATAAAGGAAAGGAAAAAGGGAAAGAAGGAGGGAGGAAATAAAGGAGGAAGGGAAGGAAGGAGAGAAGGAGGGAAAGAAGGAAGGAGACAGGAAGGAAAGGAAGGAGGAAAGAAAGGAGGGAGGGAGGGAAGGAAGGAGAGAGGGAAGAAGGAAGGAGAGAGGGAGGGAGGAAGGGAGAGGGAGGGAGGTTTGGAAGGAAAGAAGGAGGAAGGAAGGAGGGAGGGAGGAAAGGAGGGAAGGAAGGAAAAAGGGAGGGAGGGAGGGAAGAAAGGAAGGAAAGGAGGGAAGGAAGGAGAGAGGAAAGGAGGGAAGGAAGGAGAGAGGAAAGGAGGGAAGGAAGGAGAGAGGAAAGGAGGGAAGGAAGGAGAGAGGAAAGGAAGGAAGGAAGGAAGGAAGGAAGGAAGGAAGGAAGGAAGGAAGGAAGGAAGGAAAGACAGGGTGGTGAGCAACCTCAGAAGAAAACTCAGAGAACACAAGCTGGCAGGCCACAAAGTTTGTGTTTCTCATGCAATTAAGAAAAATTCTTTCTGGCTATGATATTACCATATCATAATTATTGAACATTCAGCAATTCAGGTGTGCTGAATGCTTCGCACCCTTTACCTTAGTGAATTATCCCTATGGAACCTGTATGAGACTGTTGCTTACATAAACCTTCCTGTGAGGTGGCTTTCTGGAACTTTTTCCTGCAATTTATGCTTGGAGCCACTTGTATTAACCACCTTATCTAAAATATGCACACAATTCCTCTGTCGTCTGTTCCCTCATCCACCTTGTTTTTCTGTGTGACTCTTTACATCCCTTAAAACCAGAGTGCGTATACCATCTTTCTCTACATGTGGAATGAAGGCAGGGACTAGATGAGTTACCCTCACTGTTCTACCTCTCATGCCTGGCTTAGTGGCTGGGATATTTTTGTCTGGGATTCTGAATAAATACATGAATGGCCTCACAAAAACCCTACCCAAATCTGTTTCTAGTACCTCCATTTTATGAATAAGAAACCAAGTCATAAGGGCATTCAGCAGCTCTGCCAAAGTCACCCAGTTACTAAGACACGGAACCAAAACTCAGATCTAAGCAGGTTGACCCCTGAGTTCATGAACTCAATTACTTGGCTGTATTCCTTCTTGAACTGGCTGAGAAAGTGCCATCCAGGAGAGCAACATGGGGAATCCAGTAATGGATAGAGAAGAGCCATCTACAATTCAAATATGACTTTAGGCCTCAGAATTGCCTTCCAGGGCTTGAATAAAATGTTTTGGATATATCTCCTCATTAATTCTTACGCTATTAATACGCTAACCAAACCCTCATATAGAGAAAAGCTAATGTGAGTAACTATCCGAATTCTTTCAAATCTTTAACAGACGGTTTTAAACCAATCAAGTTGTAGCTGATTTGTTACTACATTAGTGACCATAATTCTCATGGCAAATGGTATTTATGAAATGATGATGCTATAATAATGAGTGGACACGGTGTGGCAAATGGAGACAAATTCAGGGATAGTGGATCTCAACTCCAAGACAGCTAAGGCAGCTCCTAATCATGAAATTATGTGAAGAAAATCAAGGTAAGCGTATGCTTTCCTGTTTATAAAAGTTATACATGTTTGAAAATTTGGAAAAAACAGAAAGCGTATAGATGATAATTGTCATTTAGAGAGAAGAACTGTCAACTGTGTGTATATATGTATGTATAGACCTCACCGACCTCATGATGTATACACTTATATATAACATACGCTCAACCCTAAAACATACATATTTAAAATATAAAATGTATATTATATAATGTATATACAAATTATATATCTATACACATGTAGCTGATCCTGAACAATGTAGCTATTACAGATGCTGACCCAACCCCCCTCCACAGTAAAACTTTCCTATTCCTCAAAACATAACTGCTCATAGCCTACTGTTGACCAGAAGCATTACCAAGAACATAAAGAGTTGATTAACACATATTATGTGTGTTATATGTATTCTATCCGGTATTCTTACATTAAAGTAAGCTAGAAAAAAATGTTATTAAGAAAATCATAAGGAAGGGAAAATATATTTACGGTTCATGAAATGCAAGTGTATTATCCTAAAGGACTTGATTCTCATCATCACGTTGAGTAGGCTAAGAAGGAGGAAGAAACAGAGCGGTTGGTCTTGCTGTCTCAGGGTTGGCACAGGCAGAAGAAAATTTGCAGAGAAGTGGACCCACACAGTTCAAATCTGCGTTGTTCAAGGGTCGACTGAACATTGCTTTGTGTCCTGCTTTCTTACATCATGTCAATCATCACCACTTTCCTTCATGAGTAAAGTGTGATGTTTAACGGCCATGTGGTTTCCCATGATCAAATGTCTCAAATGTATTCACCCATTTCTGCAAATGTGGAATTTGAGAAGCCTGTGTGTGCATGTGTGTGAGTGACACTGCACGGAGCAGCCTTACACACGTAACTCTTTGCTCACATCTCCAGTCACTCCTGTTACTGAAAGGTGACTTCCGGTGACTGGAAGGAGGCTTGCAGGAATGCAGTCAGAGCTATTTAAATACTTGCATCATTGGCGTGAGTGCTATTTCTTTTCACCTCAAGGGAAAAGGTGTTGAATGTTCTATAAATGTTTATCTTTTGCTATATATTTTCCAACTTGTGAACAAATTGCTGACTGGCAGGGGAAATTTTAGTGGCTGTTTCAGGCTAAAACTATGAGTCTATGGATTGGCACATATTTGTCCCCAACTGGCCATTTTTCCAGCAGTCCATAAATGCAGTCCATGCACCAGGACCCCTTGTGAAAAAAAAAAAAAAAAAAAGAAAAAGTTTTCCTCGAACTACAACAGAAGCAGAAAAATGAGGCCCATGGCAAATATTCCAAAGAGCTGAATATGTTCCCCTTTAGGAATGATGGTGAGAGGTGGTAGCAGGTTGTACAGTTGTTCACGAGCAATTTAGCTGAAGACAAAAATTGTCAATCGTACGGTCATCTCAAAAACGTTTCATAAAACCTTACAGGCCTATAAAAGTTCTCAAATCTAAGAGCAACTGACTCACTGATACGGGCAGGAAGTGAGTAGACTGGCCTTCAGTGCTGCTGCTGCTGCCGGGGGAAGCTTTGATGATGGTACACAGGAAGTCTCATCACATGGGCTGAGGGTGGAAAGCATCCTCAGGCTGGACCCCACACAGAAAGTGACTTTTCCTCTGAAAAGGATTTTCAATGCCCCCTTTATCACCACAGCAACCAGAGAATGTTGATGTCAACAGTGACTACAGGAAGAACAGCACGTGCAGGTTACGGGGAAATTGGCCAGATCAGGCATTAGATAAAATCCACTTCTAAGTTAAAGAGTTAAACAGGCAGACAGTGTTTTGCTGAGCATATTGGAGGGAAGCAGAACAAGCTAAATATATATTTAGCTTTGAGCATTTGAAGATGTAAAGACTAAAAACTCAGAAGTGTGGGTCATGAGATGAGGAAGCAATGCCAGAGCCCATAACACTGTGGGGTGAGAATGGGAGGTGCCCACTTGAGATTGAACCTGAATGCTGCAGAGAAAATAAAATCAGGGGTGTGTCCGAGGAGGGTTCTCTGCAGCTGTGTAGGGAGGGTAACAAGAAAGATGGTTCGTTGTTTATTTATTTATTTATTTTTGCCAATCATTTTGAGCTTATAGGTTGCTCAGGTTAGCCTTGAACTCATGACCTCACCTTCGCAAGCACCACGACCTCCAGCGGGAGCCACTTTGGACCCCCGTTGTTTATTTTTATGCCTTAGCCAATTAAATTGTGTAGGAAACTAAAGAGTGTTCGATTTTGAGCTCTATCTATTCCTTATAATTATTTTAAATATCTTAAACTGTCCCCAAACTACTGTTGGTCCACGATCCCTTATAGGCAATACCAAAATCTGAACAGTTCTGAAAAACACATTTTAAGAAAAGTTTGTGGCAAACTCATTTGGCAGCAGCCCTTGACCTAAACTGAAGTGAGGCTATTTATAGTCGTTATCAGAGCCCTCTTTGTGTGAATATTCATGTCTTCTGTAGCAGAAATATTCATGTGTTTAATTACAGGTTGCTCCTGCAGATCCTGCTGGGGCTGTTAAGTCATATCCAGTACATGGATCATATTACATTTCTAAAATCTAAAAAACTTCTGAAATATGAAACCATCTGCCCCAAAGGTTCCAGCCAAGGAATTATGGATTTTTATATTAATATACATATCCTATAAGTATGTCCCTATACTCCATAAAATTCTCACAGACTGTAGGAAATTAAATATTAGAGAAATAGGTTAAATCTCCTATATGTTACTCTACTATTCCAATGTCCTTTCTTCCTCAAAATCTCCATTTTGAATGCTGATATCTATTATTTCATACAAGTTTCTATACATTGACAAAGATTAATTTTAATACTTATACATATTCTATGAATATTAACATATTATATACATTTATATACATATATGCATGCATACAAACATCTACATACGTGTATATATCTATATGTTGTTGCCACTCCGTAAAATTTGTTTCATATATGGCATTCTTTACATGTTTTCAAATGTTATGAGTAGGATCTTTCAGTAATTACCTTCACTTTTTTTTTTTTTTGAGATGGAACTTTTCTCGTTTCCCTGGCTGGAGTGCAATGGCGAGATCTCTGCTCACTGCAACCTCTGCCTCCTGTGTTCAAAGGATTCTCCTGCCTCAGCCTCCCAAGTAGCTGGGATTATAGACATGTGCCACCATACCTGACTAATTTTGTATTTTAGTAGAAATGGGGTTTCTCCATGTTGGTCAGGCTAGCCTTGAACTTCCGACTTCAGGTGATCTGCCCGCCTTGGCCTCCCAAAGTGCTGGGATTACAGGCAAGAGCCACCGTGCCCGGCCTATCTTTACTTTTTATTGATGACTATTGATGTCACACTTGTTTTTGCATGCTTATTGATCTTTGATGTATCTTCTTTAGTGAAGTATCTGTTCAAATGTTAATATAAATTTTTTAAATATTTGTTTTTTTGGTCATCAACCGATAGCAATTCTTTATATAATCTCCACATGAGTTCCCTGTCAGATGTACGGTTTGCAAATACTTTCTTCCAGTATGTGGCATAGCTTTATGTTTTCTTAACATGTTTTTCCAAGATCAAAGGTTTTTAATTTTGATTAAGTCCTATCAGTTTTTCCTTTCATGTCTTGTGCTTTTGTTCCTGCTTTAGAAATTATTGCCTGATCCACTATTACAAAGATTTTCTTCCAGTTTTTCTTCTAGATACTTGCTTCAGTTCACATATTTAAGTCAGTGATCACGTTACATTATATTTTTACGGTGTGAAATAAATGTCAGTGTTCATTTGCGTTTTTTTTCTTGGTACAGATAATCTAGTTGTTGCTGTTATTGAAGGACTATAATTTCTTCGTTGACTGGTGTTAACATCTTGGGCAAAAATTAATTAGCCATATAAGTGTGGATGTATTTTTGGAATCTTAATTCTATGTATCTCATTTCTATGCCTGTTCTTATGAAAATACTACATTGTCTTTGGTAGTACGTGCTGAAGGTAGGAAGTATGAACACCCATGCTCTTCTTTTTCAAAATTATTTTGGCTATTCTAGATCCTCTGTTTTTCTCATATACATTTTAGAATTGGCTTGCCAATTTTAAACAAGAAAGCTGCCTAAAAAGATTTGTATTTAGGTGGCGTCGAATATCTTTTCATTTACTTGGGTCGCCTTTAATTTCTCTTTGCAAAATTTTGTAGTTGTTTATTCCTGGTATGTGGAAATGCATTATATTGATTTTATATTGACCTTTTAGTCTATCATGCTACTAACTTCACTTGCTGTTTTTCATGTTTTATTTTGTAGATTTTTAAGAATTTTCATAAGTCTTTTCTATCACTTTTTTCTTTCATGGCTTGATTTTAGGTACACGGTTATATCATCTTCAAATGAAGAAGTTTTTATTTTATCCCTTCTGCTCTAGTTTGAATGTCTTCCCAAAGTTCATGTGTTGGAAACTTGATTCCCCATGTGGAGGAGTTGGGACGTGGGTCCTTTAAGAGGCGTTTAGGCCATGAGGTCACCACTCTTATGCATGGATTAATGTAATTATCATGGGAGTGGATTTATATATAAAGATGGGCTTCCCCTCTTCCTGTGTGCTGTCTCTCCCTCCTCTTCTCTTTGCTCTTTCACCATGTTATGATGTCACAAGAAGGTGGTCATCAGACACAATCCATAGATCTTGGATTTCCCAGCTTCCAGAAACTGCAAGAACTAAATTTCTGTTTACTCTAAATTATCCGGTCTATAGTGTTTTGTTATAGCAGCACAAAATGGACTATGATACTGTTCAATTCATATGCCTTTTAGTTTTTCTTTTTATTGCCTTCTGACATTATCTAGGATCTCCAATGCGAGACTGAACGAAGGTGAAGAGAAAAGACCTCCCTGCCTTGTTCGTGGTCATAGGTAGAAAGTATTGAGTTTTTAGCATTGTGAATGATATTAGCGGCAGAACTTTTGTAGATGTACTCAATTAGGCTAAGGGAGTCTCTTTCCTTTTCTTTTTTTTCTTTCTTTTTTGAGACGGAGTTTCGCTCTTGTTACCCAGGCTGGAGTGCAATGGTTCGATCTCGGCTCACCGCAACCTCTGCCTCCTGGGTTCAGGCAATTCTCCTGCCTCAGCCTCCCGAGTAGCTGGGATTGCAGGCGTGCACCACCATGCCCAGCTATCGTATTTTTAGTAGAGAGGGTTTCACCATGTTGACCAGGATGGTCTCGACTTCCTGACCTCGTGATCCACCCACCTCGGCCTCCCAAAGTGCTGGGATTACAGGCGTGAGCCACCACCCCTGGCCCTGGGAATTTCTTTCAATTACTGGTTTGGTGAGGGTTTTAAAAAAATCATGTATGTATTTTGAATTTTGTCAAAGACTATCTTCATCTATTACATTGTCATAAGTTCTTTTTCCTTTTATATTCTCTGATTTAGTACACTGATTACATTTCAGATGTTAAATCAACCTATCATTATTGAGATAAGATCCATTGAGGCATAAAATATCACTGATTTCACGTATTCTTTGATTTAATTAGCTAAAGTTTTATAAAGGATTTTGCATCCAGATTTAAGAGGAATAAATACTTATCTATAATTTCTCTTCTTGTGATGTTTTTATCTGCTTTTGATTTAGTAATCTCAGATTTGTAAGATGAGTTGTGAAGAGTTCTCTTCTTCTCTATATATTCTGACTGAGTTTGTGTATGGTTGATATTACTTCTCTCATATATGTTTGGTCGAATTCACCAATCGAGCAATCTGGTCATGAAATTTTGTTCGTGGAATGAAATTTTACTTAATGATTTCATTTATATAGGGCTATTGAGTTTTCTATTTCTTATTGGGTGACTTTTGGTTACTTTTGTCTATCAAAGAATTTGCCCATTTTATTTAGGTTTTAAAATTTATAAACAAAATGTTGCCCATAATTTCCTTTTATAGTCCATAAGAATCCTCAGTGCGGCTCATCCTTTTATCCTTAATATTAGAAATTTATGTCTTCTCCTTTTTCTCTATCAGTCTATGTAGAGGCTTATTTATGTTATTTATTCTTAGAATCAAATAATAGTTTAAAATTTTATGTCATTTATTTCTACTTTTATCATTCTTTCCCTGCTTATTCTTAGTTTATGTTTAATTCTTTGATCCATGGGCTGCATATTGGATGTGTCAGCAGGCATGAAAACAGCATTCACCTCCTTGTACACCTCCATCAGAGTTCTTGGTCACCAAATGCAATATCAATGTGCAGTACACTTTCAATTCTTTTCTTCTGAGCAGTAAGTCTCAACGGTGGGCTTAAAATATTCACTAAACTGTGCTGTAAACAGATGTACCATCATCTGGACTTTGTAGAGCTTGGGCAGCTTCTACATCAGTACCTGTTGCTTCACCCTGTTTTTTCATATTACGGAGATGGCTTCTTTCCTTAAACCTCATGAACCAACCTCTGCTAGCTTCCAGGTTTTCATTTGCAGCTTCCTCATCTCTTTCAGTCTTCATAAAACTGAAAGGAGCTAGGTCCTTGCTATGGATTAGGCTTTGGATTAAGAAAATACTATGGCTGGTTTGATCTTCTATGTAGACTACTAAAATTTTATCCATATTAGCAATAAGGCTA